TTTATTTAAATGGAGATGGGGGTCTCACCTTGTTGCCCACTCTGGTTTCAAACTCTTGGCTTCAAGAGATCCTCCTGCTTCAGCTTTCCAAAGTGCTGGGATTACAGGCATGAGCCACTGTGCCTGGCCTCGGTTGCTTTTAATCAGCTGCCTATTAATAGGCCCACTGTTCTTTATTTATTTTTATTTTTTAATACAGGGTATTGCTCTGTTGCCCAGGCTGGAATGTGATCTCTGCTCACTGCCACCTCCGCTTCCCAGGCTCAAGTGATCCTCCCACCTCAGGCTCCTGAGTAGCTGGCACTATAGGCGTGCACCAACATGCCCAGCTAGTTTTTCTGATTTTAGTAGAGATGGGGTTTTCACCATTTTGCCCAGGCTAGTCTCACACTCCTGACTTCAGGTGACATGCCCACCTTGGCCTCCCAAAGTGCTGGGATTATAGACGTGAACCAATGCGCCCGCCTGGCGCTGCTCTTTAAATATTCATTATTTTCACTCCTATACAAATTTTTTAAAAAGTAAATCCTAAAATGATTGTAGAGTGATGTGTGGATTTCCATGTCACTCAAGTGATTTCATCTATGGATGCTATATACCTTGAGTAACTGAAAGTGCTGATTCAAGTTAAAAAACAATTGCCTTTCAGATAATTGTGACTTAGGAAAATTCATTCTATTTGGGGTTTACCAATGACTGAAAATCAGTTATGAGAAACAGTTACAGGAGACAAAGTTTTCAATTAACTTTAATGATATGAATCAAAGAATGAAATTTCTGACCACTTCAGAGTGATTTCCAAAAGCATAAACTCATCCATTTACACTAAAGGCATTTACTGTTCACCTACTTGCTGTTGGATGCTGGGACTACAGATACGTATGAGACATAGAGCCTGCCTTTCAACAATGCAATGTTTGGCAGGTATAGGCAGGCTAGAAAACACAATTCTAACATACCTACAATATCAGAGAAGACAGGAACAAGAGAAGAGCACTGGCCTGCTTAGAGGAGTGTTAGAGAATGCCTCTCAAGGAGGTGATTTTTTTTTTCTTTTCTCAAGACAGAGTCTTGCTCTGTCGCCAAGGCTGGCATGCAGTGGCATGATCTCAGCTAACTGCAACCTCTGCCTCCCGGGTTCAAGTGATTCTTCTGCCTCAGCCTTCCAAATAGCTGGGATTGCATGTGCACGTCACCACACTTGGCTAATTTTTGTATTTTTGGTAGAGATGAGGTTTCACCATGTTGGCCAGGCTGGTCTCGAACTCCTGACCTTATGATCTGCCCACCTTGGCCTCCCAAAGTGCTGGTATTACAGGCATGAGCCACTTCACCCAGCCAAGAAGGTGATTTTTGAATGCTGTGAGAGATAATTTGTTCACCAGGTGAGAGGAGGGTTGAGGGTAGTCTGCATCAAGAGATAATAGCCTATGGAAAGGCACAGAGATAGGTGGCTTGACCTTTGGTATTGCTGGTGGGAAGGGAAGATACTCATTCAAAACATTCAACAATTTTTGGTCAACTTCCAGTAAATAATGGATGGGTGGGCTGCATATACAACAGTAATCCCTTAAGATTATACGGTTCTTTAAACTAGGTGCAGGTGGCTCACGCCTGTAATCTCAGCACCTTGGGAGGCTAAGGCTGGGGGATCACTTGAGGTCAGGAGTTTGAGACCAGCTTGGCCAACATGGGGAAATCCCATCCGTACTAAAAATACAAAAATTAGCTGGGTGTGGTGGCATGCTCCTGTGATCCCAGCTACTAGAGACAGGAGAATCGCTTGAACAATTACAGGTAATCAGAGGTTGCAGTGAGCTGAGATTGCGCGCCAGTCTGTGTGACAGAGCAAGACTTCGTCTCAAAAACAAAGATTATACAGTTCTTTTACTGTACGTTTTCTATGTTTAGATATGTTTAGGTACAAATACCATTGTGTTGCAATTGCCTACAGTATTAATACTGTAATACACTGCACAGGTTTGTAGCCTAGGAGCAATAGCTATATATCATATAGCAAAGGCAAATGGTGGGCGAGACTACTTAGGTTTGTGTAAGAACACGCTATGATGTGCACAAAATGACAAAAATCGCTTAATGACACGTTCCTCAGAACATATTTTCCTGTGGTTAGGTGAGGCATTAGACTGACTGTATTAGAATGCTGACTAGGTGTTGAGCCCCTAGGAGTGCTACAGATTTAGGGAGGATGCAACATGTTAAATCTGAGGGAACTGGCAGAGGTGAAAACGCGCAAAGAGTTCTGGGAGGAAAAATGTAGCTGCAGCTAACATTGTACTGGGAGAGGTACATGCCAGGCCCTACTTAACGGGCTTCATATGCATCGTCACATTTAAATACAAAATATCACATGTAGTCTCCTCCTGATGCACTGGGTAAGTGACATGTCCGTGCTCTCCTCTCCAGTTAGCAAGCGGATAACCAGCCTTGGGTATTTGATTCTGGCGCCCGTGCCCTTCACCGGGACACACACTACCTTTCCAGGTGCAGACAGGAGATTGGTTTTAGATGATGACTGAAATTACCGGCCTGGGAGACATTTCTCAGTCAGAGAAGTGACACTGGGAAGAAACCCTAGAAATAACGTTGCAAATGGATAAGTTTGCGAAAACACACTAATAATTCTGTTTCGAAATTTCTTTTATTGTCAGATTATTTTTGGTGCCGTTTACTAAACGAAGTGTTCAGTTTCATCGAGCTTAACTGGGTTGAAGTTATCTAGACAAAAGTAATCCACATCAAAATCAGGACGAATCAAGAGGTAATTTGTGTTTTCTGGCACTCTTGCTGCATAAATCTAGGATCTAGGGCATTGTTTTCAATGGTCCTCATTTTTGGCTCCAAGGATTTCTTTTTCATGTGACTAATTCTTTCGGTGGAGGAGGAGGTCTGGCCACGCCGCCGGCCTTGGCGAGCAGGTGATTACGGATGCCTGGTGTTTGCTGGCCGAGACGGGGAAGCAACCTCCTCCCCGCCCCCTCCCCGCTCTGGAAAGGTGCAGGATCCGCTAAATCGTGCGTCGCACAGCGGCGGCCGGAGCAGACGCGGGATGGTCGCGCGTCCCCTGCACAGCAGAGAGGGGCTGCCAGAGAGCCTGGGAAAGGTACGAGCGGGGAATCCGAGCACAGGGTGCAGATCAGAAAGAGCAGACGGTCAGTCGGGCGGGGAAGGAAGCTGCCGAGTGCAGGTGTGGAAGGGGCTGCCCCAGGCCCACCCTTGGCAGACGAGGGGGCGGGGAGCCGCGCCGGGGACGAGGAGACTGCGGACGGGGCGCGCTCCTCGCGCACTCGCTCGCCTGCGTGCCCAAGGCCCCCGGGAACGGCCCTCGCCCTGGGATCCAGCTCGCCGCCGCTGGCCCCGCAGAGCCTGCGGCTGCGGGGACCCGGCAGCCGCCAGGGGGCGGGAGCGGCGTCGCGAACAATGGCCGCGCTGGGTCGCGGGCTGGCGGGAGGCGGAGTGGAGGTAGAGCCGGTGCCGGGCGCGCGCGCCGGTCGGGCGTGCTGGGGCGCGGGAGCGGCTGCGCAGGCGGGGGCGCGCGGCGCGAGCGCCGGGGAGGCGGGCGGAGGCGGGGGGCGGGGAGCCCGAGGGGTGGAAGCCGGCGGCGGCCGAGCGGGGTCAGTCCTCTGTAGTGTTTGCCAATGTTGGAGCCGTCTGCAAAGTGTCCCCGGCAAGAAGGTAAATACCCCTCATCTGGGGCGCCCGGGCGACCCCGACTTCCGCCCCGCCAGCGTAAGAGGCAGAGGGCGCTGGGGAGCCCTGCAGGTCCGCGGCGCGGCGAACCCGGAGAACAGCGGCCCCCTTCGCGGCCTCCCCTCCCCCGCGCCTTTCCTCCCTCCTCCGGCTCTCTCGGGGCAGCAGCGGGAGGGGAGACCGGCGGGGGAGGGAGGCCCGGGAGGCGAAGCAATTGGGGTGGGGGGGGCGTGTGTGGCAGAGCGGGTGGGACGACACAGGTGTCCTGAGGGGAGGAGCCGGGAAGAAGGCGAAGAGGCCGGGCCAAGTGGGGGTGCAGAGGTGGGGGAGGCAGGAGCGCGGCTGCGGGCGCGGGAGGCTGAGGGTCTCGGGGGCCAGGGTGGCTACGGCCGGAAGAGGGGACGGCGAGTGCAGCCGCGGTGTGGCAGTGAGCGGGGGGAGCACCTGGGAGAGGAACGGGGAGGGCGACCCGGGGAGGGTCTGCGGGGAATGGGCCTGGGGGTGCTGGAGGCGGAGCGTCGGGGCCGGGGCGCGCCGGGGGGTGGCGGCGGCGGCTATTTCTGTAGAATGGGTGAGTGGTAAAGACGTAACTTGCCGAAATGGAGAAGGTAGGTGGGGCCGAGGGGACAAAATATATCCTATGACGGGCAAGTTCTGCTGTGGCTCCTACGAACTCCTACCATGATGGCTCGGCTTAAAGGGGTAGTTGGCGGTAGTGACCTTGCCAGGGTGAAGGGAGTTGGGCGAGGAGACAAAGCTCTGTTACGGAATCCACTTTGTGAGAGCAGGAACTCCGATCTCTCAGGGGGCGACCCGGGGACCGTGGCCCGGAGGCGGGGGGTGCTCCGCAGAGGCGATTGAGGAGCACGCCATGCTGGGATTCTTAAGGAGGGGATGGGCATAATGGCCGTGGGGTTCTGAAAGTCCTTGGAAATATGTGTAGAATTTTGCATTTGTGAATAATTTTCTTTGGTAAGGGTCCATATTGTCTGTGATGTCCCCTTACCCCCATCCACACTCCAAAGGGTTAAGAACTGTTTGGGTAGATAGAGAGGGACCAGTCAATTAGGGTAGACCTGGGAATTTACCAAAGGATTTTAAAGTGGGTGGATCCTGAAGAAAGGATGGAGATGAACCTTTAAAGATACTTTACTGTTAACTGAAAACGTTTATTATTTGATGTTTGATTTTATAATTTTGGTGAACTTTTGCTGAGCGTTACTTGGCTTCTGATGCATCCTCTGTTTTAGACCAGCATAGTGAGTACTTGAAATCAAAATTGTGATGGGCAGGCAGGATGATAGTAACCTTGGAGGTGAAAATATTTCAATATTTCTCCGGCATATTTTTTCCCCGTCCTTGCTTTCTTTAGATGATTCAAGTATACAGTTGTGAACTGAGCTGCGGTGGAAAAATGTTATTTAATAAAATTACCAAAACCAAGACTTACTCTCCATTTCTGTTTTGTAATATGGCAAGATTTTCATTGTTCAGTTTGTATTATACCGCAAATCAGAGATATCACATATCACTTTAATTATAGATTTGCTGCATTTTGCAGCAGGCCTATAATAAATTTGTGAAGCAGTTATGCCAAACTATCTGGTGTGTTTGTGTGTTTTTCTTGCTATGGTTTCAAGTCAAGTCACCATTGCCACATTTCATTATATAGTAGGGTAGTCTGAAATTTATTCCTAAGTGATGATTAGTTGGTAGGATATGGTACATACTTGCTCGAAAATTACTGCATTTTTTCCCCATAAAAACCAGTGTTTTGTAAGAATGTTGCTGTATGTTCCAAGTACGTATTGTTAATTTCAAATAGAATGCTATGTAATTTTAAAATTTTAATTTATTTGGAAATAATTTCAACCTTACAGAAAAATTACATGAATAATACAAACAACATTTTGGTAACCTTTATTCAGATTCACCTGTTAACATTTTATGCATTTATTATTTGCTCTCTATCAGACACAAAATATTTTTCCCCTGGACCATTTAAGTTACATACATTGTGGTCCTTAACTCCTAAATACTTCAGCTTGGAAAGTCATGTAAATTTTACATTTTAGCTTACTTGGCTTGTCTGGAATGAAGTGCTAGGAAGGGTGACTTGGTTTGCTTTTCAACAAAGAATATGAATATAAAAAAAAATCTAAGATATTCATCAAGCTTTTAAATATACAGACAATCCAGAAATCGAGGATTTCTGTTTAGGTTCTAGAAGATATAGTCTGCCAAATGGTTTTTGTTTTCGTTTTTTCCTTTGTGCCTGCCCTTCTCTTTACTCCTATTATCTCCTTTTGTTTTAGACACATTCGGTGCTGGGTATCTGATCATTTATGTGTACAGTTCATAATAGAGGGAAAACTCTAGATATTGCAAAATCGAATTCTCTATTAGATTGCGTAGTTTGAGACATGCACAGTGTGCTTATTCACACTTAGATATATTTGTGTCCCTTATAGGGACACAAAATATTAGATGAGTGTTTAGAATCATCATAATTATAATTTTTATGTGTGCATTGTTTGATTCTAAATAATCCTCCCCAAGTTCTATATAGGAGCTTTGCCGTTATGTTGTCCTAGAGGTAAAACCCTTGACTTTTTACAGGAAAAATCAGAAGGCAAATTTTTTATTTTTCACCACGCTGATGCTTAAAAAATTAAAAAAAAAAAAAAAGGCAAGTCTTTTATAATTTGGTATATAGTGAAGAAAATAGGACTTTGAGCCAGAGTGAACTGGGTTTTGATCCTAGCAGTGTGACTGTAGGCAAATAACCAGACCTCTAGAAAAATGGAGATAATGCCTGCATCCCAAGACGATGAGGAATGAGTTAATGTAAAAATGTCAAAATGTGGCACCTCACATATAAAATTGGTATCTGATGTTTCCTTTTTTTTTTTTTATCTTCCTGGCCTGTGGCATTTATTTCCGCTAGAATAGTTTGTGGAGTAAGACATGTTTTCCTTACATAAAAGCAGTGTTTTTGGATACCTACTTTAAAAAATCAAAATGAAAAACACTAAAAAGCTCTTTAAGGGACTCCATGACCTTTTTAGAGTAAGAAGTATTGAATTGATAGTTTTGTAGCAGCTTGTAGTCTAAGAATAGGGATAGTAAATTTTGTTTTGCTTTTCATGTTTTCAAATAAGGCATTTAAGTGAGAATTGCCTATCAACTGTAGGATGGGTGCTGATATAAAAAAATTATAAATATTAGTTTAGTAACAATGCAATTTTATAAAGCAGTTTAATTATTGGGGATTATATAGGTTTTTTTGTACAGCTTTTAATTTCTCAGATAGGCAAAATGTAATTCATAATTAAAGTACGACTTATATCAGCAGTACATTGCAGTTACAGGTTGGATCATTAATTCTTCATGAGAATCACATCTTCCCCAGTTTGTAGTGCCCTCTCCCCGTAAACTGCCCTGCCTCTTTTCATTTAGTAGTTTGGAATCTGGTATTGCCTGTCCTAATATGCCTGACCAGATCACTGTAGGGCATTTTTGGGACACATGGATACATTTCTCTGAAAGTACTTAGTTGTAATTGGAATCAACTGTAGCTGGAAACTTTTTTCATAGAGGAAGTGGCTTTTTATTATTATTATTTTTTAATTTTTTGAGACAGTCTTGCCCTGTCACCTGTGCTGTAGTGCAGTGATGCAATCTTGGCTCACTGCAACCTCTGCCTCCTGGGTTCAAGCAATTCTGCCTCAGCCTCCAGAGTAGCTGGAACTACAGGTGCCTGCCACCACGGCCAGCTAATTTTTGTATTTTTAGTAGAGACAGGGTTTTACCACGTTGGCCAGGCTGGCCTCGACCTCCTGACCTCAGGTGATCCACCCACCTTCGCCTCCCAAAGTGCTGGGATTACAGGTATGAGCCACCATGCCTGGCCAAGGAGATGGATTTTAACCATAGGCATTATAAAACTACTTTGCACTTTTTTGATATGTCTTGATATTTTATAAAATTGTTTAAAATATATGACAGTAGGCTGAGCATGCCTTTAAAGTAGAAACAGAGGCTTTCAGATGTACAACTGTGGGCATTCTGAATTGTCCATGGTATAATTACCAATTACAATTTTTAAATTGATATAAATCTAATGTAACTGGTTTGATTAAAAAAGCATAATTTTCAGAATGTTAGCCAGTTATAGAGTGCTGTGGTAGACATATTAGTTTCATGTGTTTTAATTTATATAGCTCTTTATATTGTAAAGGAAAGCCTTACAGAATATTTAAAGCGTATGGTCAATTTTATGTTCATAAAGTTTTCGTTTTTGTTACTTCATGGAATATCTTCTATATATCAGAAGATTAGAACTTTCAGGCCGGGCCTGTTGGCTCATGCCTGTAATCCTGGCACTTTGGGAGGCCCAGGCAGGCGGATCACCTGAGGTCAGGAGTTTAAGACCAGCCTGGCCAACATGGTGAAACCCCATCTCTACTAAAAATACAAAAATTAGCTGGACCTGGTGGTATGTACCTATATCCCCAGCTACTCGGGAGGCTGAGGCAGGAGAATCACTTGAGCCTGGGAGGTGGAGATTGCAGTGAGCTGAGACTGAGCCGTTGCACCCCAGCCTGGGTAACAGGGTGAGACTGCGTCTCAAAAAATAAAAAGAAGATTAGAACTTTCAAAAAGGTACCCCAGTATCTTGCTGTGCTTGCTTCTTGGAATCAGCCACCAGTGTTAGCAGCCTCTAATACTGAATAAATACATACAGGTCTGTAGTTAAGCACTTATAGCTTTAAAAGCTTATACTAATAAAGACAAAATGGAGTTTTTCAAAGTTGGTGAGTGCCTAATTAATAATGATAAATGCTATTTTTTTTTTTTTTTTAAACAGAGTCTTGCTCCGACACTCAGGCTGGAGTGCAGTGGCACCATCTTGGCTTACCACAGCCTTGGCCTCTCAGGTTCAAATGATTCTCCAAACTCAGCCTCCTGAGGAGCTGGGATTACAGGCATGCGTTGCCATACCCAGATAATATTTGTATTTTTAGTAGAAACAGGGTTTCACCATGTTGGCCAGGCTGATCTCGAACTCCTGACCTTGTGATCTGCCTCCCAGAGTGCTGAGATTACAGGTGCGAGCCACTGTACTCAACCAGTAATGTTAAATTCTAGAAAGCAAAATCACTGAGATGCTTTTAGTGGTTGTTCACGCTTTACCTTTTAAATGAACTGTTTTCAGTTAAAAAAAGATGATTGCTTGTGTTTGTATTTTTAGTTATAGCTAGTGTTTTTAATGAGATACTCCATTCCTATTGAAAACGTGTATTTTAACACCGTATAACAAATGCTACACTTTTTAAAACCTCATTTTTTGAATTGAAAATGTAACTGTTTTAAGTTTTATAATTTGCCACTTTGAAGTTCTAATGTTACTCATTTGCTTATGTTGAACAGGGCTTTTTTTTTTTTTTTTTTTTTTTTGCCTATCCAAATGTAAATTAATATCTAAAGCACCATAGGAGTATTAAATGATAGAGTTGGATAGGATTGTCTTATTTATTGTTGCATAGCACATTGCACCAGAATTTAAGAACATTATCTTACAGTTACTATGAGCTAGAAATCAGGGTGCAGGTTATCTGGGTGCCTGCAGCTTATAAAAGAGGTGATAGTCAAGCTGTCAGTTGAGGCTGCAGTTGCATCTGGAGGCTTTACTGGTGGAAGAGCTGTTTCCAAACTCATTCATGTGGCTCTCGTAGGGTTCAGTTTCTTGGGGCTCTTGGAGTGAAGAAATCAATTTTTGTTGGCTATTGGCCAGAGGCTTTTCTCAGTTCTTTGCCATGTGGGCCTCTCCAAAGGGCACCACAATTTAGCGTCTGCTCCCCTCTGAGCAAATGAGTGAGAGAAGGCGATACCGAAGAATTTTTATAACCTAATCTTGGAAGTGGTATCTCATTATTTCTGCTGTATTCTATTTGTTAGAGGCTGCCTACCACAAGGACTTTAGCTTACTTTTTAAAGATTGAAGAAAAAAAAAGAAGACAGAAAAAGAAGAACTCAAAAGATACACAAAGTAATTTGACCAAGGCTCAGAAGGTAATCTCCTGAAGAACTTTGACTAGAACTGAAATTCACCAATACCCAGGCCTTGTGCTCTTTATACAGCATCCCATTCTTTTAGGAAATGTGAAAGTAATTAGAAAAGAAATAAAAATTGATGCAGATGCTGAGGACACTATTGTAAGAAAAATATTAAAGTTTTGAAAGTCATTTTGAATTGACTCCAGTTTGTCATCTTGAAAAAATGGTAGACAAATAGCGTGTGTTTGTGTATGTGTGTGTGTACTTACAAAACATTTGCTTCTAAGAGAAAGTTCAGTATTAAAATTTTACAGCATAAAAGTTTCTACACAAGTGATTAGATGTAGCCCTTTTGCTGTGTATCACAACTGTTGTTGCTTTGCAGATAATTTTTTGGGGAGAGGTCTGTACATAATTTATGTTTTATATAAACATTTTTTCATTACAAGATCCCATGATTTATTTGTTTATAATTTGGACTTTCCTTCCTGTCATTGGTATCTGTTTTTAAATTACATGTAAAAGAGCTTTACCATGTAAAAGAAATATAACCAAGAAAAAGGTTTCAGGCCCAGAAGGAGGTAAACCCAAATGTAACAATAGTCACGATGGTGACTTTTTCAGAGAATTTTATGTGAAAATTTTTTTGAGATGGAGCCTCACTCTGTAGCCCAGGCTGGAGTGCAGTGGTTGGATCTTGGCTCACTGCAACCTCCACCTCCTGGGTTCAAGCAATTCTCTTGCTTTAGCCTCCCGAGTACCTGGGATTATAGGCGGGCACCACCCATGCCTGGGTAATTTTTGTATTTTTAGTAGAGGCAGGGTTTTCACTATGTTGTCCAGGCTGGTCTCAAACTCCTGACCTCAAATAATCCACCCACCTCAGCCTCCCAAAGTGCTGGGATTATAGGTGTGAGCTACCATGCCTGACTTGAAATTTTAATATGCATACTATTTTTATACCAATGATAACAGACAAAATGACAGAGAAAAAAATAATCAGCAAGATGATTGTACTATATGCTTGTTTCCATACCATCTAAGAGAATACTTGTGGTGTTGCATCTTCTTTAGGATTAATTTATCATATAGAAGATGAGAACAAAGCTATTTAAAACATGGCTGCAAAAAGGGGTGTGTATGTTAAATATTAACTTTCAGATTTGTTTTTTAACAGCTTCACTTTTGTTGGGATTGTCTTAGAAGTCTAGAAGCAGAAGGGGCTTTGTTCAGATCTGTACTGTCCAGTATGGTGGCCACTAGTGATATGTGCTTATTTAAGTTAACATAAAAGAAAAACATGTATTTTCTTGATTGCTCTAGCCACATTTCAAGTGCCCAGTAGCCACATGTGGCTAATGACTACCAGATTGGACAGTACAAGTATAGAACATTTTTATCATCATAGAAAGTTCTATGCAGATCTGGATAAATTACATTTAATACTTGATTTTGATCAAGGGCATGTGTTTAAAATACCAGTCATTGAGATTATCAGCTAAGTTGAACTTTATTTCTTCATTTTCATTTTCCAGTTTTTGGAGCCGTGAGGGATACAGCAGTTTGGTCAATATTGTCTTAACATGCTTCAAATAAATCAGGTGAGTTTGTGTTAAGGCATTTTTCATGCTTACGTGGTGCTTTGGCCATAAATTGTGAAACATTTTAACTCAGCTTTTCTTTTCTGTAACTGTAACCTGACTCATCACTTTTTAAAGCAGTTATGTACTATATAATCATCATTGGAAGCTGTGTAGGGCAGGTTGTTTAAGGATTAGAATGATTTTCTGAAAGTTGGTAACTTCTGGGTGTGCAAGGCAGAAGGTTTGTCTGTTCTTGATGTCACATCCCTTTAGGACTTGTTGATGTGTTCAGAATGCTTATGATCATGATACAGCTTCAGTAGGTGGCAGTTCTGCAGACTCAAAGCATTTTTAGTGACAAATCTTGTGAAGTAGTTGTATCTGTGTTTAAAAAAAAAGGTTCATTTTCCAGATCACTGAAAAATGCTAGAAGGAAGTGCTTTGATAAACTACAGCATGTAATACCTTAGGCTCACTGAAAGAAGTGTTTTTCCTAGTTCTTGGTGTTTCTCCAAGAACTTAATACATTTAATTTTACCTTTCCCATTAACTAGAACATTGTATTGTAACTATAGTGTTAGAAAATACTTTTGGCCGGGCTGGGTGGCTCACACCTAGTCCTAGCACTTTGGGAGGTGAGGTGGGAGGATATCTTGAGCCCAGGAGTTTGAGCCAGACTGGGCACATAGTGAGATCCTCTCCCTCCTAAAAAAACCAAAAAAACAAGGAAGCAGACAAAATACTTTATTTCTTTTGATTGCAAATCCAGAGAGAAGTAATTAAATTTTTTTTTCTGTGATTAAGAAAGTAATCTTGGCTGGGCGTTGTGGTTCATGCTTGTATTCCCAGCATTTTGGGAGACTGAGGCAGGTGGATCACCTGAGGTCAGGAGTTCAAGACCAGCCTGGCCAACATGGTGAAACCCTGTCTCTACTAAAAATACAAAAAAAAATCAGCAGGTTGTGGTGGTGCATGCCTGTAATCCCAGCTACTTGGGAGGCTAAGGTAGGAGAATTGCTTGAACCCAAGAGGTGGAGGTTGAAATGAGCTGAGATTGCGCCACTGTACTCCAGCCTGGGTGACAGAGTAAGACTCTGTTTCAAAAAAAAAAAAAAAAAAAAGAAAGTAATCTTGACCCCCTGCCCTCCAATATACAGTCCTGCTCACCTTGCCTAAGAAATCTCTAGTTCCTGTGCATCCCATGGTATTCCTAAGCTAATGGCTTCTAAGTTTATATTCTGAGTTCCAAATTCATGTAGCATTTACTATCTCGATCTCTTGGATGTCATTATACATCTTAGACTTGATGTGTGCCCAAGAAATAATCTCAGTGCTTCAGTTATACTAGACTGATTTCCTAGATTGGGTAAGGTTGTTCCAGCTGCAGGGATTTGCACAGATTTCCTCTGTCTGGACCTCTCTTCCCCTCCCCTGGGTTTGGCTTACTTGACTGCAGTCCTACTATATGCTCTCATGGCACCCTGCCCTTTTGTTTAATAACATCATGACATTTGCAGTTATAGTCAAATATGTAATTATTTGTTTTAACATCTGTCTCGCTTGCTAGACAGTATGTTTCATGAAGACAGACAGTGACTATGCTTGTTTATGCTTACATCCCCAGGTCCTAGAATAAACAATGTAAATAATTTTCATATATTTATTTGTGGTGTGTATGAGGGTATGAATGGTGCTAGAGTTGTCACTAAAGCAAGGAGATATTTATTTTCAACAGTAACCACGAAATTATGTTGTCAGTTTTGGTATTGTATGCTGCTTGTGTTACACAAATGCAACTAACTCTCCATCATGTAAAGTTGTTACTTAGTTTTCTCCTCTACTGGAAGCTTTCCTTATGCAACAAAAATTGCTTTCATCAAAACGTTACTAATTAAAGAAATCATAGAGCTGTCCTGTGCTTAGTGCTTCCTCTGTCCTCACAGCTGCTATCAAATCCCAGTGGAAGCATTATGAGACTTGATTTGCAAACTATTATAGGTGTCAAGTTGCCATTAAATAACTTTCCACGGATACCTGCCATTAATTATTTGGTTACAGTTAAATAATTTTTCATATTCTGCCACAGATATTTGGAAATGATCATTTTATGCCAGCCAACTTCATTGAAAATTATAGTTTATGGATTAATCTTAATGAGGATTTACTAACTGGCTGTGTTGCAGGTCATGTTGAAACAGGCATTGCAGACAGTTCCTAGATAATGTTCTACATGGCCATAAGCAATTCCCTGGATATTGGCTAGAAATTGTACCCAGTGCCTGGGGATATACATTCTTAGCTTGTACAGGTTTAGTATAACTTATCCAAAATGCTTGGGACCAGAAGTGTTTTGGTTTTCAGATTTTTTTTTTTTTATTTTGGAATTTTGCCTACTGGCTGAGTATCCCTAATCCAAAAATCCCATATCCAAAATGCTCCAATGAGCATTTCCTTTGAGCATTATGTTGGTACTCAAGAACTTTGAAATCTTGAAGATTTTGGATTTCAGATTTTTGGATTTGAGGTGCTCAACCTGTAGTAGATGTGTAGTCCTAGAATAACTTAAGAGCCCCCCTCTTGTTATTGACTCTCAGTTGTCATCCCCCAAACTGTTCAAGTCTGAGATAATGAGTTTCTCTTCAGCTAAACATAGAGTTGAATTCTTAAACTCATGAGTGATTTTTAAATCTTACTTTCTCAGCAGCCACTTTCTCAGAACAGTGAGGGTTTTCAAGGTAAATGTATAAAAGAGCCAGGTGTGGTGGCTCATGCCTGTAATCCCAGCACTTTGGGAGGCTGAGGCAGGAGGATTGCTTGAACCCAAGATTTTGAGACCAACTTGGGCAACATAGTAGGACCCTATCTCTACCAAAAAAAAAAAATTAGATAGGGTGGCACATAGATGTAGTCTCAGCTACTTGGAAGACTGAGGTGGGAGGATCACTTGATCCTGGGAGGTTGAGGCTGCAGTGAACTGTGATAGTGCCACTGTGGCACTCCAGCCTGGGTAACAGAATGAGACCCTAGGCATGCACAGAGGGTTTAAGTTGATACTCAACTTGAAACAGTTGAGATTTTTACTATGTGATTTTTCAACATTGTCTCTAGGATTAGTACTACATTTTTATTTGGGAAGTCTTTTGTTTCGTTAAAATACCTGAATTACGTGCTTTTTTAATCATAACAGATTCTTCCATATGTATTACTAAAACTAATTAAAAACTAGGCTGTTGAATACTAAGTTATCTGATACTAACTTTGCCTGACTTTAGTATTATCATGGAACATGGATGTTCCATGTTCTAATAGCGGCACTGTTCTGCATTTAAATTGTGATCTTAGTTGTTGTTTTGCCTTTTAAGAATGTGTGTTATTATTATCCATGTGCAACCTGTGCTTACTGTAGAAAATTAGGTGTGATAGATAAGAAAAAAAATTTCATTTCTTTTACAGAGATGTTACCGGTAACAAAATGTTACCAGTAACATTTTGGGGTGTATACTTCTAGATTTTTTTTCTATGCAGGTATGTTTTTATGTGAATATGTTATTTCTTAAAAACTAGGATTATACAATATATACTGTTTTGAAGTGATTTAATAATAATTATTAGTTTGGATGTACTAAAATTTATTTAACCAAGCCCTTATTGTTGGATAGATTTTTATTGTAGTTAGTGCCATAGTGAATTTTTTTAATAAACATCTCTTTGTCCAATTATTTTCTTATAATTAATTATTAGAAATGGAAATACTGGTTAAAGATGTATGTGGATTTCAAAAATATTTGGTGTATAGGTTTCAAAAAGACAAAATTATATTTGCCAGAAGTATATCTAGTTATTTCCTTACTTCCTTGACAAAATTTCAGTCTTTGCCAATCTGTCTGACAAAAGGTGGTATTTTACTTTGTGTTTATGTAATATTTAAATATTTCTTGTTCTTTTGTGTTTTGCCTTTTGTGAATTGCTTATATATGTCTACTGTCATCTATTTCTTTTTATTTGTAAATAACATTCTTTGGATTATGCCCCCTGAGAATTTTCTGTACTTACAATCATTACTTATATTTTAGTATGTATAAACATTACTTTATATTTTTTATTCATTATTTAACAGATAACTAAGAGGAGTATACTAGTTTCTGGGGTACCTTAATAAGTACAAGTATGGTATATTTTGGGCCTTTCTCCCTGATCATTAATTATAGGTCCCCCAGTAAAACTCATTTTAACAGTAAGCTATAGCAAATATAAATTACGAAGATCTGTGTGGTGAAAAAATATTTTTAAATGAGTAGCTGAAATAGGGCCAAGCTTTGGAGATTAGCTGGTGAGGCAGACTTGACAGGTCAGTGTGCCCTAAGGAACTGGAAAAGTCTGTATTAGGCAGTTGTAGTACTGGGAGAGCCTAGCAACTGGGAATTTGATCCCTGGGAATTACAGGGATCAAAGTAGTCTGGTCATTCCTTTTAGTGAGGTTAGGTAGTAGGTGTTGGGAACATGGAAGTTAAGAGGAAGTTTTAAGGCCTAACTGAAGTGGAAGGGATGACAGGCAGGACAAGACAGAAATTTTCTGTGTCAGGGGAATAGGAGAACCCTGTAGGGCAAGAAGGAGCCAGGTGTCATTAAAAAAAAAAAGTTTTTATTACATTGGATAGTATAAGACCAGACAATAATTACCAAGAAACAAAGTCTAGAGTTGAAGGAATAATGACCACGATCTCAGAGGTTTGTTGTGAGGGGTAATTGAGGTAACAAAGGCAAAATGCTTAGCATTGGTTCTGGTACTACTGCTGTTAATTTGACTGTTAACACTGCTATTGGGCTGGGCTTGGTGGCTCATGCCTGTAATTCCAGTACGTACTTTGGGAGGCTGAGGCAGGCAGATCACGAGGTCAGGAGATCATTCTGGCTAACACCGTGAAGTCCGGTCTCTACTGAAAATACAAAAAATTAGCCAGGGGTGGTGGCACACACCTGGAATCCTAGCTACTTGGGAGGCTGAAGCAGGAGAATAG